TAAACAGGGGAAGTTTAGATTGGACATAAGAAGGAAATTCTTTCCTGTTAGGGTGGTGAGGCACTGGAATAGGTTGCCCAGGGAGGTTGTGAATGCTCCATCCCTGGTGGTGTTCAAGACCAGGTTGGGCGAGGCCTTGGGTGATATGATTTAGTGTGAGGTGTCCCTGCCCACGGCAGGGGGATTGGAACTTGATGATCTTAAGGTCCTTTCCAACCCTAACAATTCTATGATTCTATGATTCTATAATAAACTATACCTTTAGTTGCAGGTGCTACAACATTCAGCATGACAGCTCCTCATGAGCTTTCTGAATCTGAGCATTCATGTCTGTTTCTGCAAAGAATGGGAATGAAGATTTTGGTTCATACCTAGCTTCAATGTGCCTTTGCTTACAAGGGGGATGTGGTTTCAGGACATTTCTTCCCTGAGATATTAGGTCTCCATCTCTCAAGTCACATAATAGTAAGCCATTGAACTACATTTACTAGCTCCTCCCCAGTTAAAACCTAAACATCTGTGAAATTAGACTTTGGTGAAAAATTGCAGGGGGTAATCGCTGAATTGACCCCACTGCATATGGATATACATAATTTTTTCATTGGAAGGAGTCTAAAATCCTGATGTACACAATGACCTGGGAAGTTTTGCTGAGGAAACTTAGAAGGAATAAAGAGGCTTAAAAAAGTTGGAGCAAGGACAGGTGGCCTGGGAAGAATACAGTGATGTTGTCCGAGAAGCTAGGGACCAGGCTAGGAAAGCTAAGGCCCAGTTGGAATTAAACTTGGCTAGGGATGTGAAAAGTAACAGAAAGGGATTCTATAGGTACGCAGTGAACAAAAAACAGAATAAGGACAATGTGGGCCCTCTCCGGAAGCTATCAGGAGAACTGGCTACCCTGAATTTGGAGAAGGCTGAGGTTCTGAATGACTTCTTTGCCTCAGTCTTCACTGGCAAATGCTCTGATCACAGCACCCAAGTCTTGGATACAGGGACTGTGAGAATGAAGACCTTAGGCCCACTATAGGAGAGGAACTGGTTCGAGACCATCTTGAAAAAATGAACCTGCACAAGTCTATGGGACCTGATGAAATCCATCCGTGGCTCCTGAAGGAGCTGGCAAATGAAGTTGCTAAGCCACTGTCCATCATATTTGAAAAATCATGGCAGTCAGGTGAAGTTCCCAACAACTGGAAAAAGGGAAATATAACCCCCATTTTCAAGAAGGGGAAAATGGATGAACCAGGGAATTACAGACCAGTCAGCCTCACCTCTGTGCCTGGCAAAATCTTGGAGCAGATTCTCCTGGATGGCATGCTAAGGCACATGAAAAACAACAAGGTGCTTGGTGACAGCCAGCATGGCTTCACTAAGGGGAAATCCTGCCTGACCAATTTGGTGGCCTTCTATGATGGGGCTACAGAACTGATGGACAGGGGTAGAGCAGCTGATGTCATTTACCTGGACATGTGTAAAGCGTTCGGCACTGTCCCACATGACATCCTTGTCTCTAAATTGGAGAGACACCAATTTGATAGGTGGACACTGGGTGGATAAAGAACTGTCTGGATGGCCGCACACAAAAAGTTGTGGTCAATGGTTCAGTGTCCAGGTGGAGACCAGTAACGAGTGGTGTCCCTCAGGGATCAGTGTTGGGACCGGTCTTGTTTAACATCTTTGTTGCTGACATGGAGAGCGGGATTGAGTGCGCCCTCAGCAAGTTTGCCAATGACACCAAGCTGTGTGGTTCGGTTGATACACTGGAGGGAAGGAATGCCATCCAGAGGGACCTGGACATGCTTGTGAGGTGGGCTGATGTCAACCTCATGAAGTTTAGCCATGACAAGTACGAGGTCCTACACCTGGGTTGGAGCAATCCCAGGCACAGCTACAGGTTGGGCAGAGAAGAGATTCAGAGCAGCCCTGCGGAGAAGGACTTGGGGGTGTTGGTCGATGAGAAACTTAACATGAACTGCCTTCAGTGTGTGCTTGCAGCCCAGAAAGTCAACTGTATCCTGGGCTGCATCAAAAGGAGTGTGACCAGCAGGTCAAAGGAAGTGATCCTGCCCTTCTACTTTGCTCTCGTGAGACCTCACTTGGAGTATTGTGTACAGTTCTGGTGTCCTCAACATAAAAAGGACATGGAACTGCTGGAACAAGTCCACAGGAGGGCCATGAGGATGATCAGGGGACTGGAGCACCTCCCATATGAAGACAGGCTGAGAAAGTTGGGGCTGTTCAGCCTGGAGAAGAGAAGGCTGCGTGGAGACCTCATAGCAGCCTTACAGCATCTGAAGGGGGCCTACAAGGATGCTGGAGAGAGACTCCTCACTAGGGACTGTAGTGATAGGACAAGGGGTAATGGGTTCAAACTTCAAAGCGGAAGTTTAGATTGAATATAAAGAAGAAGTTCTTTACTGTGAGGGTGGTGAGGCACTGGAAGGGGTTGCCCAAAGAAGTTGTGAGTGCTCCAACCCTGGTGGTGTTCAAAGCCGGGTTGGGCAGAGCCTTGGGTGAGATGGTTTAGTGTGAGGTGTCCCTGCCCATAGCAGGGGGGTTGACACTAGGTGATCTTAAGGTCCTTTCCAACCCTAACTATTCTATGATTCTAAGTTGATACTTCCCTTAAACAGCCTGAAACCTGCTTTTTCAGTGATATCTTATAACCATATACAGCTCTGTGTGAAGTTTATAACAAGAATGAGATATTGCTGAATATTCATGCTCTGAAAACAGAAGATTCAGCTCACTTATGACCTCAGCTGAGCTTATATAGCTCTTGTGTGGATGAAAAAATAAAGAGATTACACCTTCACACTGGATTAGATGTCTTCTGTAGTGTATTGCTGCCTGTTAACAGGTTCACTACCCTCACTAAATTTCATCATTTGACTTATGTATTTTGTACTTATTTGTTGGTGCAGCTAACCCAACAACAATTTTCTTTTTTTTTAACTAAAAAGCTTTTTTTTCACAATGTTTTTTCCTGCCTTTTCATAGTCTTAACTCTGTGAAGCAGATGAGAATCCTGCTTACTACCTTTTAATTTAACTTTCTTCAGGACAGCAGCAGCAAAAATCAACTGCAGCTAGAAAGACACCTATTAAAACTTCATCTAACTGACTGGCATTGGAACCATAATGAATAGATAATAGTTTGAAGAAATTCTCTGCTCACTGTCACTACTTTCCACAAAAAAGCAAGATTCCTGTGTCAGATTTTCTTACACTTTGTTTACAATGAGAACACAGAGTACCAGTTCTGATTTGTTCTAGAAACTCTCAAATGCTCAGCATAATTCTCTCCTCCACTCCCCTCCCCAAGCTGCAAGTAGTTCAGATGTAGGTCAGGCCATATACAACAACATCTTTCAAACCACTCGGCTCTATTACTCACAACTTAACTGCTTGCTTTTCAGCTGGTCCTTTGTTGTCTGCAAAGTTATTATCTATGGTCTACAGGAAAAAAGCATACTTTTTCCCAGGAGCTAATGAAAGTCTGCCTCATTCTCTATTTATGTTTCTGAGATTTCAATTGCCAGCTATTAACAATGCTTTAGAAGAGGTCAGTAAGAACTGCAACATCACAAAACACTTATTCTTAAAGCTGTATAATATACTTGCATGTAAGAAATTTTAAGCCCCAGGTATACAGCAAGACCCGAGTAAAAGATTTAGGAAGTAGAGCTTTTAAAATATTATCCACGTACTTGTACCATCCATATAGTCTGTATTTGCCCTTTTGCTGCCGGTAACTTGATTTTATTTGTCATATGTTAGCTAACCCTGCATATTTTTAGTGTATCAAACATTAAAGAGAAAAAGATACTTTAAAAACTTCTCTAGAGCGAATTTCAATAACTTCAACACAATGGCTTTCTTTCTTCAAGGAGTGTGAGAGCTAGAGGGACATGTGAAACTTTCCCCCATATTCCAAACACAGGTCAATAAATCTCATTTGGGGAATAAAAAAAAACACCAAACAAACAAACAGAAAATCAGAAATAACACAGGCATTACAACTATGTATGTGCTTCACCTTCAGGAGGGTTTTGACTTAAAAAATCTTGATGACTGCACAGTAGCAGATCAATTGGGAAAATATGTATTTCCTCTCTTACCTCCCTATTTAATCAGTATCTTAATATTATGGTATTTGAAGTAATGAATGAGAACTTTTTGTTAACAACAGGAGAAGAAAAGTTGTTTTGTGTAATGTGAAATTAGTTGCTATTTATGAAATATTTTTCATGTCTCAAGCCTTAATTTAAAAAAAAAAATAAAAACAAAAAAAAGAAATAGTAGACAGTAATTGAAAGGGTGGTTTGAAAAGCAGTGGTTAGATTGATATCCACAAAATCTTCAATAGCTGCCCAATTGGTCACCGGTCTTTATACAAGGAGCAGTCCCTGGCCTTGTCTCCACTCTGGTTGGGGGATGGGTAAGGTTTTGGGGTTCTCTTAGAGCTCCTGAAGACAAACAAACAAAAACTAGAAAAAAAAAAGTTTCTTCCACAAAGTACAATTTCAGTGGAGATTTCTCTAGATTAAATCAATTACTTAGAAATAGGTTTTTTTTTTTCAAACAAGAGTGGTGCTAGCCCATAATGTACTGCTGAACTCTATAGATTTCTTGCTGGAATTCATATGCAAAGACTTTATTTAAAAAAAAAAAATTAAATGCCTTACATCCTCCAGGAGTACTACACAGTTCAGTCTCTTTTGAAAAATAATGTCAAATCAACTGCCAATCTGCTGCTTTTTATCATGGGTCACCACAAAGAAAGAGTGGTCTGGAAACAGCACAGAAGCCTTGTGGTCAGCTGGCTGTACATCTTTTCTCTGTGGGCACAGTAGAAGGCACCTTAATTTATTTTCTGTTCTCTTGGAGCAGTACAGAAAAACAACTGACAGAAGGAGGTCATCCATGACCTCTGCACCTTCACAGAAATTATTTTACCAGTTAAATTGAGTTTGGGGCAAGATTATGATAGCATTATGCCATTAGGAATCTAGGCCTGAAGCTTGGTCTGGATTCTATTTTACTAAGTACCTTGAAACGTGCTGATATTAACTCTGTTTTGCTTTTTCACTCTCACGTTGTCAGAAGAACATTCACTGTCTGATATAGAGAAATTGGGTTTTCTTCTACCAGACTAGATTCTTTCCCTCACTCCCAAAGGCAGCTTTCATCACAACTTTCAGCAAAGGGTCTGCCTGGATGTGGAAGAAGACAAAGGTCTGAAAAAGTAACGGGAGTCAGTAAGGTTGCAAGGAGGGACAGGTTACAAAACTGAGACTAGACATGAATGTAGGGGAAGTACAAGAAGGCTGGGAAAAGGTTTCCAGGAGGACAAAAAACTGTGAGGAGAAGCTGCTCACATAGCCCACCCTTGCTGACATAGCCTGAATAACAGCTGTTAAGACAGAAGCATGAGTGTGAGAGTGTTTGTAAATCAACACTCCAAACTGCCTAAGAACACATTTGGTCCCAAACTGATCCTGTTAAAGAGGAAAATAATCAGCAGTCAGATTAAACAGTAACTGTAGAATTACAATGAGATTTTGGAAACAAAATGAAATCTAGTTGAGAAAAAGTATAAAAGAAGCATGAATTTTTTGTAAGAGTGTAGAGATACCTCAGAGTGAAAACAGCAGTAAACCTGCTTTGACACTGTGAGAAGATTTCCCCACTGACACCATAACTTTTATCAAGGTCACCAAAAGAAGCTTCTTTATCAGATTCCTTAAAAGCTCTCCATGGAGATGATGGGCTCTCCCTATGGGGTGTGATGTGCAGATCTGCTCTCCTGTGTGCACAGGTGACCTCAGTAAGGGTTCTCACTAGTGTGTGGATTAGCAGCCTGCAGGAATTAAAATGAGCGTATATAAACCTAGAGCACCCTCATTTCTATCAAAAGGCACCTAGAAGTGGGTGAGCCCATGCCCTGCAGGAGAGCTGTATCTGCTGGTAACCAGCTTTTCCTGACAAAAGAGGTTGTGTCGATGGGTGTTTGTGCGTGCACATGTGTGTGTGATTATAACATTGGGGCATGAGTTCTGGAAGAGTGTTTAGAAGTGTGCAGGTATATGTTAACATTTTGTAAAGTCTAAAATTGTGTTGTTGACCTTGACCTTGAATGTATAGATCCTGATCTGATATTAATAAACCAATAAATCACTTTGATCATAATTTGATTCAGCTATGTGAACTGGCTTTTCCCTGAGACAGAAATTAAGACTGGCAGCTGTTGTGAAGCAGATAGATGATTAATTAGGAGGACTGAATAGAGAACAAGGAGAGGTTTGGCAAGAAAATTAGGAGCAGAATCAGAGGAGACAAGACTGGACAAAGGAGCTGGCTAAAAGGGAGGCTTGGAGTATTGTGAAATATTGTGCCAAATTTCTTCCTTAGGGTCTGAATAAAATCTAGGATTCCCAAAACTCATATCTGCTAAGAAAACATGTATCTTATCCCATTTAGGTGCTGGTCCAGGAGGAAAGAACCCTGCTGCTTTTGTCATTTACTTAGTTAATCTAAGAAGAGAAATGTGGAGTGGTTCTTAACATCCCAATTCTGCTTGTGAATCAAGTAGGTGTCAAGACCATGCCATTGATTTGGTTTTGCTTCTATTACATTTACATACCATTTCCTCTCTTAGAAGAATATGGTCATGGCTGTGAAATTAATCTGCCAAAAATTAGAAATGGACAGTATCAAGGTTATCAGCATTATTTTAATTTGGACACCTTTTTCATATAAATTAAAGTCTTTAATTACAGGATCACACACTCAGTTTTCTCAAGAATACTCATACCTAACTCAGCGTGTCAAAAGGACTTAATTAGTAGCTGTTCAATATTTAATTTTTTTTTTAGCCTCATAGTTCAGTATGTCATCCTGGGCCTTATTTAAAAAACACTGTTCAAGCCCTGCTCTGAAATCAAAATTATTATTTTCCTCCTGAGCTTTTCTGCGTTACTCATCACCCCAGAATCTGAGTGCTTTGCAGACAATTCATTCATCATTGCAGAACCCATGTGAAATTTGAGGGCATTACCTCTATTTAGGAGACAGGGATCTGAGACACAGACTGAAGTCCAACTCATTAGGTGTCCAATGTGAAATCCTTCAGACTGTCAAAATTCTGTTTTAGCATTACACATCCATATTGATATGTTAGCTCCCATGGATTTTGCTAAAACTGAAACCATTTAACATTTTTCAAAGCAAAACTAGAGGTACAGACCAGGCACCCAAAGATGAAGAACATACCTGAGTTTCGAATCACTGCACAAAGAGTTTTTGAAAGGGTTAGATATAGGAATAGTTTTCCCAGGACTAAGTTATGTCTTCTGTTCCTGCAGCTCCCTGCTTCATCACTATCCATCTGTCAGCTTCTGAAATTAAGGAAAAGGGATTTATAAAAAAGTATCCTGTTGCTCCACTTCATTTTTGAGGCATCTGTGTGTTAGCTGAGGCCAAAGTTCTGAAGAGGAAATAGTAGGTCATCTGTCTTAAGAAAGTTATTACAATATTCAAAATGTTATTATAATATTCAGAGACAGGATGTTTAGGATGCCTGAGGGCAGGAAGGCACAGTATCAGTGGAGGTATTCTGCCATTTCCAAATTTTAGCCTTTTTAATTGTATTTCCTTACATGTGCTAATGTGCAAATGGGTATACTGACACTTATGTCTTCAATATAAAGTGGAAGCTTTTAGAGTTACCAGGACTGATGAACATGAAATATAACTACAAAAAAGGCACTGCCAACTGCTTACTCTTTGGAGATAAAGAAAAGCTTTTGAGCATTTTGTATTTGATAAGCAATAATATGCAAAGCTAAAGATCTATTTTCTATTTCTTTCAGGCAGAATTAATCTTGAGCAGCCTGGTCAGCCAGTTCTTCTGGATTACAGAGCTGTCAGAAAAATGTAAAAGCTTCACAAATTTGTTGCTAGGGCTCTCTGTGCTATTTCAGATGTGTACTTAATAAAATACATAGCAAACTTTATAGAGTGACATTTGATTATGATTATATTAGTCCCTACATCTATGGAAAAAAGTACACTTTGTGTTTCCCACTAAACAGTGTAGACCGCTCAGTTTTACTGTATCTGCTCAATAACTGTAAAAAGTAATAATTAAGGAAGAGAACTACCCTACTGTTCTAATATAGCATATAGGTCTCCTAAGATAATTAAAATTGTTTACAGTATCAGCCTTTTCCCATTGTGGCTAGTATGTTCACAGTCCTCAGTTTATTCATCCTTTGATATAAGCATTGGCTTCTCCTAAGTCTGTAGTGCTAGGGAGCTAATGTGAGGGTTTTTTTAACCAATGTGTGTAACTCAGCTAATTAATTTGTCAGAATCTCATATCAGTTTAATCAAACAATCCTTAAAGTGAATGGAGACATCTATGAAGGGACTCAGTTCTAAAGTCTTTAGGCAAATTTGCAGAATTACAGGAGCAAGAATAATTGAACATGCAATCTCTGTCTTCTGTAGCACATAAACGCATTTCCTCCCCCACTATTTACAATGGTATTTCAAAATTAGGCTCTATAGTGAGAGCACAGCCTTATTTTTCTCCAGGAAGGAAAATAAGCAGTCTCCTTACTCCTCTCAGTATTTCTTCAAGTAAAAGAATGACATCTACACTGAGGCACCAGAATAAATAATTTATTTTTCAAAGTTACCAAATATATGTTGTGCCAAATAAAGCCAACAGCTGAACTCTGGAAAAGCCCTATTATAGGCACTGCAGAAAGGCCCTGTAGCATTTCAAGATTTAGTTGCTTTATATAATGCCAAGTCTAATGTGGATTTCAGAATTTCAGCTTTGCTAATGTAAGTTACCTTCAGTGAATTGAAATAGTTATGGGAGGGAGTCAGCAAAAATTTAAATTAAGGCTTTCCAAATGTCCTTGCTTTAGATTTTCATCAAAATTGAAGTCTTGCACCAAAGTTCAAACCGTTCTTTCATTTACTTCTTGACAATGAGTCATGCATTTAAAAATCACTTTATGAGTATATAAACTAGGTTTATTAATAAAACAACATTGTGGTGTTAGGTTTTTTCCTTATTTAGAATTCTTACATTCTTTTTGTTGGGTTGTTATTCCTTTGTCTTTCTTCCTTGCTGTCACAGCAGTGCAGGTGATGCCATTGTCTTTGGCATTCAGTCTAACTGCTTAAAATATCTACTAGCAATAATTAATCTTTAAGAAAGAGTCTGATGTCTTTTTGTCATTTGTTCAATTAATTATTCACCACAGTTTCCAAATAAAAAGCACCCGCAGTAAATGTGGAAAATGTAGTGCATTTCTTTCATTACATTTTGATTCAATTTTGATTAAAAGTCCAATCCACTAAGAAAGTTATTAATCTTGTTCATAAGAAACTAGAGCATAATTCTGTGCTCTGCCACAAACCTCTTGTATGGTCTGGTTCCTGTAATTTATCATTTACCCTAATGGCTCCAAGATTAGAATGAAAACACTTTCTGCCTGCCCTCCATTTCTCTGTTTCCTGCTGGAAATGCAGACTCTTCCTGTCATGCATGGATGTACAAGGCATGACATTACAGTGTCCTGATCTCCCTTTAAGAACAGGAAGAAAGTCCTGCCTTCACAATGTCACATTATAATGTTAGCTGGGATTTTGTACTGCTGCCTTGCTGCATACACAGTCACCAAGTGCAGTGTTTAAGATTTCAGTTAATGGCTGGTGTTGTGACTCATGAATGTGTCAATTAGGCATAACAGTTTACGGATGAGTGTTTGCAAGGGTATGAAGTTTATGAATGGTAGGGATTGCTGTTTGCCAAGAGCAAATAAATAGCAAAGATTTTTTTTCTAAGAAATTATCAAATTGTGTCTACCAAAGTAAACACATTTTAAGGCCTAATTTTCAGAACTTTTTAGCATCTCCCATTTCTATTGAAAGCAAGAGAGCTGTGGCTGCTGAGTCCCCAGAAGTACATTGTTTTATTGAGCCTTCATTATAGTTTATACATTCTTACATATGTTGGTAAACCTCTAGGGAATGGGAGGACAGGGAAGGTTTTCTAGCCTTGTGTTATGGCTATATCACTGTATTTGATCACATATGTAAGAAATTAAATCAGTACCATATGTCCACAACTTAGACTTCCCACACAGTTTGGCTCTTTTAATTTAGCTTTGCGAATGGAAGGGATACATTTGAAAAAAGTCTGAATATACTTTTTGCAAAGTATATTTTAAAAAATGTGAGTTACCAAGGAGGCTAAACGTGTTCTTGGCTAGTGATTTAGGGAGTTAGAGTCTCAGTTTCTCAGAAAGACCTAGGAGTCCCAATCACTTAAGCATAATTTAAAATTTACCCTTCTTATTATTACAAATGGTTGCTACTTTGCAGGGTGATTAATCGCATCTTTAGCCAGAAATGCCAATCACTCCAGCTAACTGAAAGTGATCCAGCAGCTGCTATTAGTTTTTTTCTACTGTTCAGCAGCAGAGTTGTCTGAGCTCTAAAAATATTGCTGGACATACTCTTCCAGAATTCTTTTATGTCTGGATTATCCATGAATATGGATATATGGATATATCCAGGAACTTCTACATGAACCTAATAACTAAGATCAGAGTGATAATAGTAGTTACAGGGTCAGTCAGTGAACCACAGAACTTCCATATGTGGGAAGGGGTGAAAAAAA